CTTCCTCCTCGTCGGGAAAATGGAGACACTTCGTCTCTCTCCTGGCTGTGGAGCTGGGAAGGATTTTTCTTTTCTTTTTTCCTTTTTCACTCCTGGCTTGATTTTTTCCTTTCCCCCCTCCAGTCGCCACCACCCTAATCTTGTAATTTCTTTGAGCTTGTGTATCAGATTTGTGCCTTCTGGGGATTTATTTTTCACTCGTTTCCTCGTTTTCCGTGTCGCCACTAGATTTGATTCGATTTGTTTGGTTCTTTATTTGCAATTTCCTCTGAATTGCTCCGTGCCTCCTGCTTTTAACCAAGGAATGGAAACGGTGCTGCTTTTTGTGGGTGCGCGAAATGCTCGGGCGGTAGGTTTGGGCTAATGCGCTTTTTTCTCCTTTTCGGGACCAAGTTTTCTGCTGGTTTTTTTTCTTTTTTTTCTCTTCGTTTTAGAGGGAGAATATTTAACTGTAACGCCTCTTTTTTAAAACATAACAATAAACCGTCTCTTTCTGGAGTAACCCATTTGGCTTTGTTGTAGAGTGCATGTGAATCTGATCCTTTGTGTTGCTGGGATTATTTTCCGTAAAAGAAACAATGTTTTATAAATAGTTTTTCCTTGTTGCTTAAAACAGTAGTTGCTTGGGGAGGGGATTTTCTGAAATCCTCACAGTTCACATTTATTGGGGTGGGGTGTCAGTACTTAAGTTATAATTCGTTTTTGCTACTAACTGCAAAATTCATTTCGAGATTATGGCGGAAAGCAAATGTGTAATGTTTAAACCCGGGCAAAATTAAAGGAGGTGTTGAGGGCACGTTTGTATTTACTTGGAACTGTTGCTAAGTAATCACTGGAAGAAGGAAAGAGATGTGGAGGCCTTTGCTTTTCCCCGATTCTCTGCTCTCCGCGCCCCCCTCCTTTCCTCCTCGGAGCCCGGCAGTAAGGAGTGAAACAGGATTTGGAGGAGAGGAGAGGTCCTCCGGTGGCTCCGGCTGTGCCCAGGCTCGGCGGCCAGCGTTTGCGGTGCAGTTCTCGGTGCGAGGGGGAGTGGGGAGCGAGCGGGGAAGATGGCGCTGTCTGGCTTCCTGCCAGCGTTTGTTGCGCAGTTTCACTCTGACTCTCCTCCCCCACGGGCGCCATTTTAAGGTACTTTCTGCTGCCGCGCCGTGTGGGGCGTTGCCGTCGCGCCCCGCTCGGGCCATTTCTCTTTCTGTCGTGGAAGCGTTGCTGTCTCGGGCCTTGAGATCCTCTCCCCGAAATTCCAGAAGCTGCTTGCTTCCCCCCTCCCATTTTCTTTCTTTCTTTAAGAAATTGCTGTAAGGGGTTTCTTCTGCGTGTGCTTTGGGGACAGAGGGGAAGGATTCTTGGCTGTGTATGTGCAGGGGAGCAAGAGTGGATTGTTTTGGGCGTGGGTCTTCCGGGGAAGGGCCCCGTCAGAGTTGTTGCTCTGAATCGCTGCCTTCTCAGGCTTCCCTTGGCTCCTGAGTAGTCTGGGTCATGGTCCTGTGAGGTATTACACTGGCCTGGTTCAGAGGGGCCTGTGCACCCAGCTTAAAACCAGTAAACATCAGGCTTCTTTTCATGTCTGTAAAATACGTGTTTCTTCACATCAGATGTGTTCAGAGTGTAGGAAGAAAAAAGATGTGAAAGAACATCATCTTCTGTTGAATGATGACCAAAAAATACAAAATGTCATTAGAAAAGAAATCCACCTTTAAAAATACTCTAGTGTAGCAAAGTAATTTTTATTGAAGAGCCTTTAATACCTCTAAAAGTGCTTGGAAAAATACAAGGGCAAGTAACTTTTTGATGAGTGGATAGATAACTCATTTTGTTACTGTTTCTTGGTAATTTTTTTTGAGGGATAGACTAGCATCTTTTCAAGTTTTTATCACCCCTTTATGTCTCACAGGAAGCAGTGCTTTTTCCAAATTATTCAAATTTAGCAGCTCCACTTCAATATGCTTTTTAAGTTTTGTTTTGGTGCTGTCTTTTGGGGAGAGTGTTGAAAATGGTCTCCTATTTTTGGATCAAGACTTACTACTTTGTTTTTACATTTCTGTGTAATCTGATCAATGCTCATGATGCTGGAGTTTAATACCAACAACATCTGTATTCAGGAACAGCAAGTATGCTGCCAGACCAACTCATGCTGCGCCCACTGAGGAGTGTGGAATGCGTGTTTAGTTCTTCTTGTATGTTTTTTGACAGCAGAGGAGGGCTTCCCCATGTCTCTTGCTTGTTCCTGAAGGAAGTGGGAGATTTTTTAAATTTAGAATTAATTTTAAGGCTGTTTAAATTCTTTTCCTGTTGGTGTTGAAGGGTTTTAAATGACGTTTCTTGTGAAATAAACATTTTTATGGCTTGGAATATACAAAAAAATTGGATATGAACTCTCTTTTCCAAAGACTTTCATGGGGACAACCTTGTTAACATTTTAGCTTTTTAAACGGTATACCTGCTAAAACTTTAATTGTTTAAAAATCTATTGAGTGTGGAGTACAGTATTTGTTCACATATTTCAGAAATCTCATTATAACATGAAATTCACTGTTGAAGTGATTACTTTGCATTTTTGTTAACAGTCGGGATCAAGATAGTGATTTTTTTTTTTAGTGGTAGTGTATTTTTATTGTATAAAATTTCTCTATTATGCACTAATGTCTGACAGATTGTGTGTGGATTTTTTTCATTTATTTGTGAAAGTAATGAAGAAATTACAAAAATGTAATAAAAATGACCAATTTATATTCTCTCAGGGCATAATACTTGCCAAATGACTATGTATACTCTCTACTCTGATCTGCTTTCATTACAGCAAAATGTGTTCTCATCTTGGTATCTTTGGCAGATAGTATTTAAATGTACTAGATCTATTCTTTTTAGATGTATTTCTCTGGCTGTGTCTCAGCTTAAATTTTTTTTCTTTTTGTTGTTGCAAGTAGTGCTTTGTATTTCACATTGCTTGTTTATGTTGATGGAGAAGTGCAGAAGCTCACCATGTTGATACACTAGCCCGATTGTGCTTTCATTTGTGCACCTTGGCTTATCCACTAGTGTGATACTCAATGTATTTTGTGTTCTTATTTTGTTCATACTTCAAGCACTTGCGTTGTATATTATAGCTGTATTCTTGCTTTCACAGTACTCTCAGTGTATGTGTGGCCTTAGGTGAGGTCAGTGCTACATAGTTGTGCCCTTGACAGAGATGGTTCTACTCTAGCTAAATATTTACTTCACCTTATAGATGCACAGTTTTCCTGCCTGTGCCATGTGTCCTTTTCCAGTACAGTTTATGTATTTAGTTTAATTATACTGAGAGTAAAAAACCCAAAGTCCTGCTAGTGTAAACTGCATTTTCAGTTTCTTCCAAGGACCCTTTCTGTATCCCTCAAGTTTTGCAAGAGAGGTAAGTCCATAGTCTAGAGCTGAAGAGCTTTGCAGGCGTGGATGCGTTGGTATGCTCCTTGGGCATTCACTGTACTCTAGCTGTATTTTCAGAGTTTTGCTGGTATACTTCCACATCTGTTCCAGAAAAGTTGTATCTGCATAACTGCAGTTATGTTTTATAATGTGGCTCTAATGGTCAGTGATTGTGACTTTTCATGCTGCATTAGGCTTGTGATAAGTCTAATGGCTGATGCTTTCTAGCATAGATGTAGCAGTAGGAGCGTGAAAGTGTGTCATCCCTAAGTAATAAATACAGTCCAGGCATAAGAGCCTCTTTGATAATGTAGTTCATTCTGTGCAGAGAGTTGGTATAATTTCTTCTAGTAGTTCTGCTGGAATAAGCTGCATCTGTGCTTGAAAGGTTTTTTATGATGGCATACCCGGTCCAGCATAGACATGGGGATTGTTTACAAAAACAAGTGTGTTTTGCTTTCTTAGAGTTGCGGAAAAGCAGCAAGATTAATAAACTATTCTAACATTCATTGTGACCTGCAGCTGTTCTAGTTCGAAAGATGGAATAAGCAGTATCGGTAAAGCCCTTGTTGCACCAACATACATGCATAAACACCAACCTGAACTGATATTTTTTCAAGATCGTCACATAGTTAAATGAATATGTGTATCTTTATTTTCAAATATTTATTTGCCCCTGCTTTCGTTATTGAAAAACCAGCTACTGTGTCTGTATTATTTT